ATAAACATAGCTGGACTGAATTGGCATTGTCTCTTGGAGTTCCTTGGGCTAGGCCTGACAGTAACCCTTCCTAGATGTAAACAAGGGATGTCTTCCTAGGGCCAGGTCTGAGTTCTACTTTTTGAGATGTCCCCAAGTTCTCCAACAGTATGCCGTGCAGGGCTTCATGATGATAACCAGCACTTTGAATTGCACTTGGAAACCTACTGGAAGCCAGTCCAGCTTGTGTAGCTGTGGTGTTATGTGAGTGTACCATGGTGTGCCCAAAACTGCGCCCACCACATTCTGGACCATCTTCAGCTTATGAGTGGTCTTCAAGGAAAGCCCCATGAGGTGTGTATTGCAGCAGTCCAACCAGGAAGTGTTGAATCTCATAGTCTTCATTTTTAACTCGCTAGAGCCTTTGCATCAATGTAAGAAAAGGTCTAAGTGTTGTGGCAATGGGTTAATGAACCAGTCCTCATGTCATACTCCTGATGCATTGAGTTTGAGACTCCCGGTTTAGATTGGAAAGTTTGGTGTGCAGAGACCAGTCTCCCTAGTGTCCTGTCCAGAGCACCAAAACCCCCCACATTTTCTGCTGTTTATTGAGCTGGGTCCGGATCTGGGTGTTACATTTAAAAAAGACATTGCAACACTGGAATCTATCCAGGAGAAGGCACCCCCAGTGAAGATGCATGTGGACTTATCCCCAGATATTTGCCAAGTAGTAGTTGATTCAGTCATTCAGGAGAGTCTTTCTGCTGCCCGTGATGGATAGAGTGCCGTGGGCTGTGTTTCTTCGCGGTGGTTTTGTAGGGCTGGATCATTACAGTATACACTCTCTCTCTCTTTGTTTTAAATTATTTAGTTAGTCACAGTAAAAAGACAGGAACAACTTGGCCATTTTTCAGGGCGATCTTCTTATCCAAAGCATCTTCTTGCACTAATTGGTTTCCATTCAGGAGCAGGGACCACGTGCCACACCTCTGTCCCCTGTGTGTGATTTGAGTTATTCTCCGCATCGCTCTTGCGCTGGGAAACTGAGGGCAGAGAAATTGCCTACTCCAGGAGGAGGCTGCATGTTGCATCTCTGTAGAAGCCACTGTTCTTAGGTGGCCTCTTCTCCCCTAGGGCAACATGCTTGGAATTGCCATAGACCTCTGCGCATCAATAGTTTTCTTACCATTTCTAGAAACTTTATTGTTTTGTCTTTAGGGACAAAGGGAATGCTCTTGTTGTAGGACAAAATGACATCTCCCAAATCTGATATTGTAAAAACTGCTGCCTTAAATTCAGAATTATGTCTCAGACGTGCTCAGAGCCTAACAGTAAACATTCTGTGCCCTGAGAAGTGTGCAATGGCACAGACAGAATTCCGGAAAGTGGGTAAGTTGGGGAAATGTGCATTTGGTGTAATGGTAATGGTGCTGAACTAGAAACTGGGAGACTATGAGTTCCAGCCTTCACTTAGGTGGGTGACTTTCAGTCCAGCCCACCTCACAGGGTTGTTGTTGTGGGGAAAATAGAAAGAGGGACCAATATGTAGGCCACCTTGAATTGTTAAAAATTAAATGCAGGATATAATTCTAATCAATAAATACATTTGGGATTTTTTTTAAAAAAAACCCTGCCATATAATGTTATTCTGATAAATACATTTGGGATTTTTTTTTTAAACTGCCATGCAGTTTTATTCTGCTTTTGTTGCTGAGCGTTAATTATCTTCCTTCCTTCCTTCCTTCCTTCCTTCCTTCCTTCCTTCCTTCCTTCCTTCCTTCCTTCCTTCTACCCTCTTCCTTCCTTCCCTGCTTCCAACAATCTCCTTCAGCAGCTTTGGCCCCTTGGTCTCCGGTGTCACCCTTCCTAAGCTCTCTTCAAAAATTTGGACCTTTTTAAAAAAAAAAAACGAACGTTGAAATAACATTGGCTCAGAATGAATTTTTTAAAGAACGAACACGGGCCTAATTCTCTTTGAAGGGCCGTCTTTTTAACGGGAGCCGTGTCATTCTCCCACCCTAGAACGATTCCTGGAGCGAGCTGTACTCCTTTGCCCTCTTCAAGTCCATGAGCCACATGCTCTGCATCGGATACGGGCGCCAGGCGCCGGAGAGCATGACCGACATCTGGCTGACGATGCTGAGCATGATCGTGGGAGCCACCTGCTATGCCATGTTCATCGGCCATGCCACAGCCCTCATCCAGTCCCTGGATTCCTCCCGGCGCCAGTATCAAGAAAAGGTACCGGATGTTTGGTGTTTGGTCGACGTTTTCGAGCAGCTTCTTTCCTTTCCCCCCTCTTTTTTCTTTCTGTTTTGTTTCTCTTGTTTTTTTCTTCTTTTCTAACCTGTATAAGCAGCAACAAATTTTGTGTTTGTTGGAGTTTGGGGTTTGTTTGAATTTTGTTTTTGTTCTTTTTATTTTGTTTGGATTTTCTGTTGGTTTGAATTTTGTGTTTGTTACAGTGGAGACCTTAGTGTTAAGCTGAAGATAGAAACCTTTATGATATTACAAAACAATTGAATGCATTTTACAATTGTCTATCAACGCCCCACTTTAAAAGTATAATTTAAGCAACTTCATGCTCATTAACATGAACGTTTCAGAAACCGTAGTTGATACTGATATAAACTCCCCTCCATATCTTTAAAGGTTTAAGTTAACTAAATCATCATAGTGTTAACAATCTCTAGTTAATACTGTACAGTATAATTACTGCTGTACCCAAATAATATTGGGTCCCCCACTGTGGGGAGATGGGCGGGGACAAGCCCACTAAATAAATAAAATAAATAAATAAAATATATATCATATATTACCTGCATCTTATAACGCAATAAAATAATATGAAGGACAAGGAAAGGTATGAGAGAGGAAAGTTGGATGAACGTGCACGTGGGCACAGTGGATTCTGGATGGAAACAAGGAAGAGGAACGCTATAGCTCTTTTCGCCAAAGACACATTTTGATTTTAAGACCGTAAACATAGAGTAAGTCCAATGTATTGTCGAAGGCTTTCACGGCCGGCATACGATGGCTGGTGTGGGTCTTCCGGGCTGTGTGGCCGTGTTCTTGAAGTTCTGTTTCCTAACGTTTCGCCAGCACCTGT